TAAGATGTGACAAGGATGGCAGCTAAACTTGCAAGCATCAAATTCAAAATCAAGACAAACCTGATTTGATGCTGGTTCATGTTCTGCATCATGGGGTGCTGAAGGAGAATCTGGGTTATTGTTCAGACTGATGTTGATTGATCTCTTTAAGTGATGCTTCCTTCCCTTGCTGTGAGGACCTGGGCAGATAATCCCTTCTCTTCTGCAGATTGTCATTTTTGAAGAACGCACTGCAGGACGGATCATACAGTCTGTGGACATCCCTTATTTAGGAAGGACCCAGTACATGGACTGATGACAGCTGCTTTCCCATGTTTGGTTCATCCTGAATATTCCTGGTTGCATGTCTGGGGACACGATGGCCCAGGAAACTTGGGCATGTTAATTTCCACTAGATGCAGGTAAAGGATTTGCTCTTGGGCAGTAAGTTCAGAAGAGAGGACGGGCCCTGAAGGAACCAGAGTCCATTGTTTCATAGATGGATGCAGAAGTTCATCTCCCTGCACTACTGAGGACCCACAGCTTGGATGGCTGCCCATGGTGTTCCGGGCTGTCTGGTGAAAGTGGGGGAGGAAAAAGAAAGGTGCTTGAGGCAGGAAAGAGAGAGAAGGAACTGAAGTCATCTGAAATGAAAGCTGAGCTCAGCTCTCCAGTGACTTTAAAAGATGTGTTATTACTGGCCTCCTTGTTTTTATAATTAGATAGGGAGAAAATAGTTGGTAAATGTGAGTGTAACCAGGTGTGGAAAACCATTTTGTTGTGCTTCCAGGCAGAATTTAGCAACTCACTCTGCAAAGAGGTCATTGCTTGTTTACTTGTTGGAAGGCAAGCTGGTTGTCAAATGACTTGAATTCAAACTTTTTTTCCATTAAGTTTTACTATGGAGGTTGTCTCTCTCTCAAAGAGGAAAAAAGTATGTTTTAAAAAGTGAAATGTGTTTTGTCCTCTATCAAATAGATCCTTCTGTTTCAGGCCAGGCAGGACTCGAACTTCCAAGGAGGAGGTGCAGGTGTAGAAAAGGCCAAGTTAGTTTTCCAGACATCACCCCTGCGCTCACTGTGAGACACCTAAAGATGAAATTCCCCCTGGTAAAATAAGCAGGGATCAGATTATGGTTGGGATAGAAGGGGTTGCATTTGTAGTTGCAAATGGGAGAGCCCAGCTGTACCAGCTGTGTAATCTTGGGATCTTGGGTCCCGTTTTCTTTTTTATTTTTGTGCCTCCAAACAGAAACACAGGATTTAAGGAAAACACGACATGTTTTTTGTAACTCACCAGCCCTGCAGTCACTGAGGAGCTGCCATCTCTTTGGGGAGAGGAAGAAACCAAACTCAGGCTGCAAATCTGTGCGGGATCTCTGGGAAGTCGCTCAGGCCCTGCTCTCTGTTCCAGTAACCAGAGGATTCAGGCTATGAGAGAAACACCAAACATGGGCACTGTCTCTGATAATGGAGTTGGTATTCTGGTATTAGAAACCATCCTTTTATTTAACAAATTTAAATACAGTTTGTTTAAAACTGAGAACAGACAGTGCAGCTGTAACACACTCCATCCTGGCCAGAGCTGGGCTCACTGAACACACGGATCTCCCCCCGAGGACCACGGTGGCCTCTGTGCAAATTGGAAGGGCCCAGGCTGGTGTGACCAACTTTGAGGAGAGTGGAACGTGTGTGCAGGGTGTTCAGGACTCAATCCTTTGCATTTTTCTGAAAGTTATTTCCTTCTAAGGAGGGGAGGTTGCAACCCAGCAGGGACTGGAATTAAGATTAGTGAAACAAAACATGCAGGCAGGGAGGGGACGTCAGTTGGAAACTATTTAAATGGTATGAAAACTTTGTAGTCCTTTAAAAATGCCTTTCCACTCTAGTGTTTGCAGACTGAAGTGAACTTGGAAGGCTAGTACAATAACAGAATAAATCTGCTTGAGTGCAGGGAGCTACTGTTTTAATACAAGATAATGATGCCTGTTCCCACAGAGCAGCCAGCAGCATCAAATGCTTTCTCTCCAAGTAGAGCTTCAGCCAGTGCATCTAAAGGAACATTTTTTAAAGGCTACATGGCAAGGCTTCTGTGACAGGGAGCTAAAGAATGCAGCTTTTCCCCAATGGTTTTGATATACAGTGGGAGCAAATAACTTACAAAAGATTATTACTTTTCAAATATTAGGAAACACACAATGTCATTAGTCCAAGGGGAGACTTCTGCACTGTGAAGCTAACAATCCAATCATAGCATTTTAATAGTTCTGTGTGTTAGGGCTAAATATAATCAAGTCTATGTCCAGGATTACATTTTCCCTCAATTCAAAGGTAAAATTGTGCTTCAGACCTTTTTGAAAGAATTGGGACGGTGGGGGGTTGATCAAAGGTTTGACAACAACTGTGGAGGGGCAGGTAAGTTTGGGGTGTTTTTAAAGGGGCTGGAGGGAGGGAGAAGGGGTTTGTTGTACCTCAATTTCTTCCTCAGCAAGTTTGTCAATCTGGAATACAGAGTCAACCAAGGTAGTAGCACCCAGGTTCCTCTTCTGCATTGCTCAGTCCTGTATCTCACTGAGAAGCAAAACAGTTTAATCAGAGAACACCCTTTTATCAGTGCTATCTCAGGTCCTTTGATGTTACAGAACAGGGAAGAGGCAGCTAATGTTCTACACATAGAGTGCTTCAACCTACCTCAAGCCAGGTGCTGAAGAATCAGAGCACCAAGCACAGGATCCTGCTACCAGGGTGTTCCTCTATCCATCAGGAGTTAACTCTCCAACTGCTTCAGCCTGGCTTGGCTCTGCAGTAACATGGCATGGCCCTGGGAAGGGGCTGGGGCTGAAGGATACCTTCCAGTAGAATGGTAAATACACTGAATTCAGCTTGTATCATTCAATCCCTAGTTTTAAGCAGTTAACTTCATTTATTTAAGAGGGGAAATTTGGCCTTATGTCTGAGCACCCTTCAGAGAATCCCACACCTAATGCTTGTGTGAACCAAATTAGAACTAAACAGAGCCAAGATCTGAGCCTGGATGAAGTATGATGGTGTCTGGCCACAACAACCTCATTAAAACCCACTTCCAATGATTTTAGCATGGATGAATAGAGAACCACATGCTGTAAACATAACTCCATCCAGAAACAAAGAGGTATGTCAGAGTGCCCCCAAACCAGGAAACTAATGAAGGGAAAGGAGAGGGAATACAAAGAGAACAGAGATCCTTGATGGGTTTGTTCTAACCTGCCTTGTTTTTCTCCATCCCCCAAAACCCTTCCTGTCTTGTGCAGCGTAAGAAACACTGATTAAAGTAGGTTTAAAATTAAGGGCTAAGGTGCCATCTCAGAAGGCAACTGTCCCCTCCATGAACAGAGAGCTGCTTGGGCAGTTGCACACACAGCCACAAGGTACTTGTGTCTCAGGAAAAACAAGTCACTAGGGGCCAACCCACTCCTTGTGGGTGTTCTCACCCTTCCTTTCAGGTCCTGTAAAACAGCCCCCTCAGTCCAGACCACTTCAGCTGGGCTGTGTCTTCAGGGCATCATGCCCTGCAGGCCCTTCTCCAAGCCCGAGCATCTCCCAAGGCAGCTGCTCTTGTACTGAAGCTGATGTCAGTCCTGTGTTTTCTGTGCTTTTTCTCCACTTCCAGAGTGTCTGGTTCTGCTCAGAGTCCAGGAGGAAGGGCAGGGGAATCCGGGTAGTTCATGTATGCAGTGTTGCTTGTTTTCAGTACACTAAAACTCTTGGAAGTCAGCAGAGGTCCTGGCTGCTGCAGGTCTGGCTGGTTTTATGCTGTGGAGAGGAACCTTGCAGGTTGTGCATGAAGAAATCTTCTGCAACAAAGACACAACCAGCATATATATTACCCTTCTGCCTCCCTGCAGTTAGCTGCCACCCCTTGGAACTGTCCCAAAACCCATCCTGGGCTGCAGGCCTGTCAGTACTGCTGCTAGGCAACAGGGTGTTGGTGAAAAGCAGTTGTGACAGCTCTGAAGAGCTACGGCCTCTCTGCAAAGCTGCTATATATAGCTCAGATCATGTGCAGTGCAGGCTTCCCTCTGCTGCCCTGCCAAAGGCAGCCACTGCAGCAGGCAGGGCTCCAGCCAGCCCTGGGGAAGGGGCTGTAAGAGAGCTCATTAGTGGTAAAAATACACCTCTGCTGAGCAGATCTACCCCTTCTCTTTGCTGCTCTTACTTCTCTACTGGAGGAAAAGAGAACAAGCAGCAACCTTCTCTCCCCTGCAGGCCTGGGTCTACACTCAGGAGGGAGTGCGTTTGTTTGTTCCCCCCATAATGATGAAAAGCAGCAACACAGTTTGGATGCAGATGGAAGTGAACAGTCCATCCTTCCCTGCAGAGTGCACTCTGGAGATCCAGATGACTAAACACACCTGGATGCTCAGGTAATTAAGGGCATGAACAAATGAGCAGGAAGGCAGCCATGAAGTGCATGTTCCTTCCTCCTTTCCATGGAAGAAGGCAGCACATACTCACCTTAGGTAAACAAATATCTCATGGGGGGTTTGATCCACGCCCTCCCTCACCTGTCACTGACTTTATGTAGCTTTGCTGTAGATACAGACTAACCTCTGCTCTCAATGAAAGCTTCTGCCTGACTTAGAGATGCTTTCACTGATATTGCCTTGGCTTTCCTCAGGTGTTTACAGCTGGATGACTCCACATCTTTCACCCTTGTGCTTTAGCTGTATGAGGACAGTTCATAAGACAAGCTTCTTGTTTAGACAGGGGCTTGTTTTTTTTAACAAGGTGACTCTGCCTTATCTCTCACTTCCTGGATTCTTCTCTTCCCTCCAATCTCTCACCAGGTTTTCCCCTTTAGCAGCTTGTCTTCAACATAAAAAAAGGGAGCTTAACTAATGGCCACAAGAAGTTTTGCAGTAAGGGAAACAAAGAGCTCTTGTCCTTTTCCCATCACTATCCAGTATTCTCCCTTCTTGGTGTTGCTTCTCATGACTGTTCCAAAACCTTACCCGGTGTTGGTCTCCGTTCAGCCACGCACAGTCAGATTTCCACATTGGGATCTGTGAATCCTTTCTTCCCCTCATTCACCAGCACAGGCTTTTCTGTCCTCGTGTGCCAGACTAAAACCTGCAGAAGCCAACAGAAGCCATTAGCTGCATCTCTTCACTGCACTAACAAATATTCTTGCACATTAAATCAATAGTGCAATTTAACCACCTACCCTGGAGCCTAATGGTGCATTCCCAGCTGAGAGGAGGTTTGCATAAAACTTCATTTAGGCAGGCCTACTGATAGCCAAAATGCAAAATTACCCATTTTACAGTGTGCTGCCTTGGGACATAAACCTGCTCCTTCCATGTAGTTATCAACCATTTCCTCGAAAGGCTCATCAAGCTTTTCAGTGGTGTGAGGCAGTTCCTCCAGAACCAGAGAACCACACACCAGGGTTCCCCACAGACCAAGCTCTTGGTTGTCATGTTACTATATCCAGTGTGGAGTTATTTGCTCAGCTCAGGGTGGAAATGCAAGTTCTTGCCACTTCATGTCACACTGTGGGGATAGAGGCAGTTGCAGGGGGTGCAGCTCCAGTTGTCACCGTTGCCTTTGGTTGTGTGAAACATTACAATGGAGTTTTCAGTGCATCCATTATTGGAGGGAAGGCACCAATAGGCTCCTTAACTTATCACTTCTTTCTTTCACTTTTAAGTTCTTTCAAGACCCTGAAAAGATCTGAATGGCACTGATTTCAGGAAAGCATTTGGCACCATCTCCCACAGTGTCCTCGCAGCTCAACTGGGGAAGCATGGTCTGGATGATGTGGGAAGAGGTGGGTTGTGAACTGGTTGAAGGAAGGAAGTCAGAGGGTTGTGGTCAATGGGACGGTGTCCAGTTGGAGGCCTGTATCTACTGGAGTCCCTCAAAGGTCTATTTAGCTTGAAGGACACTGAGGGGCAACCTTATTAATGTTTACAAATATGTGAAGGGTCTCTGGATGGAGCCAGGCTCTTCTCTGGGATGTCCTGGGTCAAGGGGCAATGGGTGCAAACTGGAGCACAGGAGGTTCCATGTAAACATGAGTAAAACCTTGTGAGGGTGGCAGAGCCCTGGGACAGGCTGCCCAGGGAGGTTGTGGAGTCTCCATCCCTGCAGACATTCCAAACCTGGACGTGTTCCTGTGGGATCTGCTCTAGGGGATCCTGCTCTGGCAGAGGGTTGGACTATATGATCTCCAGAGGTGCCCTTCCAACCCTGGCCATTCTGTGTCCTGAGAAGTACTACTGCTCCAGTTCTCTGCTCCAACTTGTGCTGTCTTAGAGCTGCAGGATGCAGGAGCTAGTTACAGCTCAGGGCTGAACACAGCCCTTAGAACCCAGCATGCACTGGTCTACCATGATCACCCATACACATCTCTTTGAAATGCTGGCCCCAAGCTGCCATCCACTGTACTGTATCAGGTACAACACCTTGCATCACTTCAAAATCCCTCTCCAACATGCTTAAAACAGAACTGGAGCTTCTTCTAAAAGCTTCCCTCAGTCTTAGCAGCAAAGCTTAATATAAATCAACTTCTGTGGAGGAGTACTGGAAAAAATAGAAACTGAAGAGGTGGTTTAACATTCATGGAGAGGGTCAGTATTACAGGTAAATGGTTTCTGCTGGCACAGACAGTTCTGGAAGCTGTTTAAAATACTCTCCCCTCACTAGGCTCAATGAGACTTACTGCTTTGCTCCCAGAACCTGGGTTGCTGGGAGCAGCTTTATCTCTTTGGAGCTACAGATTCCTGTTTCCCTTCACCTGTTTGCAGGGATGTTTCCTGCCTTGTGGGGGTTTCCCTCTTGTTGCTATGACAATACTCTGCACATTTCACCCAAGTATCTGCAAACCATTTAATACCCAGTCCCTGCTTTCCTGGGGAAAAAAAAAAAAAAAAAAAAAAAGAAAAAAAAAAGGGCATGTTCTATTTCTAAAGGATAAACAAAGTGTTTTCCAAGCCCTTCTGGCTGAACAAGAGCACCCCCACCTTCCCAAGAAACTGTTTGACCAGACTTGTCTCTGATCTGAGCAGTCACCTGTGTGGGGCTTAAATAACTCCTGCTCTTATTAATGCACTAGAGACCAACTGCTGCCTGAAGTGGGTCCAAAAAACCATTTCATCCCTCTCCCACAACCACTTGAGAGCCTGCTCATCCAAGGTAGCCTTCATTAGGGTCTTGCTCACCACTGCAGCAAGGCTGCTGCAATGAGTGTGTGAACTTCCCTGGGAAAAGGCAGCACCAAACAGGTCTGCACAAGTGGCTCTCAGGGCTCCATCTCCTCACCCAACACACAGGGTGTAGAAGCCTTCATGCAGCCCAGGTGCTAGAAGAATCTTGGAGCCCATCCTTTCCAGCAGGAGCAGAGGAGAGCTCTTTCTGATAGAAACACTCAGCCCTGCTGATGGCCAAGGGCTGCACTCCCACAGGAATGGGACCTGCACTTGGGCAACTGCAACCACACACTCCATGGACACAGGACCAGAGCTGTTGTTACCTCCTCTCTAGACTGGTTCCCACTTTTGCATTGGTGAAGCCAAGTGCCAGCAAGCAACAGATATATTCAATCAACTAAAATGGACCCATTTTCAGAGCCTGTTGCAGCAGCTTCTACCATTTTCCATGCTGTGCTCTTCAGTGTGGGAGGGAGGTCACCAAAGCACCTGCTTTTCCTCAGCCAACTGCTTGATTTCTTTTTTCCCACAAGCTGTGTGTTTTATGCTTTGTGCCCCAAGTACAGCTTGAAAGGGAGCAAACAGGGAAGGGGACCAAGTATCTGCCCCTGACCAGTGGTTCCAGTATGTTCCCCTACAGCTCAGAGACAGCCCTTCCCTTCCACAGCACCCACCTGGACACTGAGCTGCTAACCCATGGATTTCATCTCAGACCTGACTCAGCCAAGAGATAAGGAGAGAGGAGGAATTACTACTTTTAGCCACCACTTCAATCCCAGTGAATTGCTACCGAGACCACCTGAGTGCACAAAAAGCCTCCCTCACCCAAAGAAAAGAACCTACACTGATCTCCCTTGATCCAAGTGGCTCCAAGAGCAGCTGGAATGAGAGACACCTCATTTCCAATTACCTTGCATTTTGTGGTCTCCTGGGCCAGCCCACACTGAGGCTTTTTAAATAGCTGGAGCCACTGCAGGTCTTTCTCCTTTAAGGGCTGCCTGGCTGAGCCCAGTGCAGCTTGTTTCCTCACGTGTTGAGAGAAAATGGGGAGCAGAGTATGTCCCAGTTACATCAGCCTCATGGGAATACAGCATCTCAGACCTCTACCCTGTGCCAGTGGGTTGAAGGGAGGGTGGTTTGCTTTGGGGGGGTGTGGGGACCTGCAGAAGCAGCAGGACACTAAAGCACAGCATGTTTGCAAAGCCTTGTTCCCTTACAACTCCAGGATAAACCAGCTCTTCCCTCCTGATAAGGAGGAATAACTCTCTCCTTTCTCCTTGGCAACTAGTACTGACTTCCTTCATTTTCTCCTTCCTTTTGGGCAGTTCCCAAATCAAAGAAAATAAGCAGGATATACATCTCTGGCCAAAGCTTCAGCTTTTTTAAGTGTGCATTTTTGGAAAGTGTGCATTTGTGGGCTGAATTCTGAGAAATATTACAAATGGCAGCACTGCACACAGGGAAGGCAGCATTTTTGGAGAGCAGATGTCTATGTTTATCTTACATACTTCTCTGATCCCTCCCTAATGACTGTATGTGAACATGCCTTCACTTTTAATGTAAAGCTCACTGCAAATCAGGAGTGTGGTTGTGCTTAACAGAAGCAAACCATGGCAACTCTGGAAGCTCACTAGAAAGAGGAGAAAGGAGTTTGTGCTTTGATTTTGGGCAGGAGGACCCCAGACCACAGCCTGTTTCTGTCCTCTGCTGCTGGTCTGGACTCTCCTCCTCATCAACTGGGAGATGGAGGCTCCTGGCACCTGCTAAAAGCAGAAAGGCAAAGCTGACCCTGCAAAGCTACACTCAGAGTTTGCCAGGAACAGCCAGCATCCCCTTCACAACAAGGACCCTTGTGAGATCCCCACAGCCTAGCCAGAAACAAAAAGCAATGCAGTCTGCTTCACATCCTGGCCAGCAATTCCTGCTTCCCCCCCAGCTCTGCCCTGCAGCTCTCCCTGCAGCTGTGTGACAGCACTGGTGTTTTCCCTCCTGCCTGGAAACAACCTTTTCCTTCCTCTCCTTCCTCCACAGCCATCATTTCCTACCCCCAGCCTCTTAACACAGCTTCATTCCAATAGTTATTTACAGCAGGGACACTATACCAAAGACTGCTTGAGGGGCCATGGAGTAAACACTCCTAATCTTCTGTTCACCAGCCTAACAGCAACCTGTGCATCTCCCCTGGCCTGCTGCAAACATCCTTTCCAGACAGTGCTTTCTTGTTAGTCAGCAGAGATCTAATTTTAATCCAATCTCTTTTCCTACCCTTGGGAGACCAGCTGTGTTATTTATCCCACTGCTGGACATCCACAACCACAGACATGTAGATTTAAAATAAGAGGCACAGCAGGTATCAGGTAATGAGCAAAGGTGCTTCTCCTCCTCAGCTCCTCTTCCTTATTCCTGGGCTCCTTTCCCCTCCTGGAGACCTCCTAGAGCTCAGAGCAAATTCTAGGCATTAAAACATTCCTGTATGATGTCTGACACAGAAAGATCCAGGTTGGTGTGAACAACTAGAGGGGTGTTGTGAGGATGTCCAGAGGGAGGAGGCAACTTGGCAGTGATGGAGTGAAGAGTCTTTCCATGTAACCAGGAAGCACCATGGCTGGGACCCCTGGGTTCCAGTTCAGATGGGTTCCAGAGGGCCAAGTCTCATGGGATGCTGGCTTAGCCAGGGGTGCCTGTACTCAAAAGCAACCCCCCCACTTAAGGAATTCACATAAAGCAACCAACATATATTTCACCTGTGGAATTCCCTGCTCCAGGAGATCAGCAAGACCACAGGTAGGTCCATATTGAAAATAATAAGGATATTTGCTATGAGTAATATAAAAAATAGAAACAGGAATTCAGGCTGAGACAGTTGGGGTGTTGAGCCTGGAGAAAAGGCTCCAGGGAGACCTTAGAGCAGCTTCCAGGGCCTGAAGGGGCTCCAGGAAAGCTGGGGAGGGACTTGGGACAAGGGCAGGGAGGGAGAGGACAAGGGGGATGGATGAAAACTGGAAGAGGGAGATTGAGGTGAGACATGAGGAGGGAATTGTGGAGTGTGAGGGTGGTGAGAGCCTGGCCCAGGTTGGCCAGGGAAGCTGTGGCTGCCCCATCCCTGGCAGTGTTGAAGGGCAGGTTGGATGGGGCTTGGAGCAGCCTGGGCTGGTGGGAGGTGTCCCTGCCCATGCAGGGGGTGGCAACTAGTACTGACTTCCTTCATTTTCTCCTTCCTTTTGGGCAGTTCCCAAATCAAAGAAAATAAGCAGGATATACATCTCTGGCCAAAGCTTCAGCTTTTTTAAGTGTGCATTTTTGGAAAGTGTGCATTTGTGGGCTGAATTCTGAGAAATATTACAAATGGCAGCACTGCACACAGGGAAGGCAGCATTTTTGGAGAGCAGATGTCTATGTTTATCTTACATACTTCTCTGATCCCTCCCTAATGACTGTATGTGAACATGCCTTCACTTTTAATGTAAAGCTCACTGCAAATCAGGAGTGTGGTTGTGCTTAACAGAAGCAAACCATGGCAACTCTGGAAGCTCACTAGAAAGAGGAGAAAGGAGTTTGTGCTTTGATTTTGGGCAGGAGGACCCCAGACCACAGCCTGTTTCTGTCCGCTGCTGCTGGTCTGGACTCTCCTCCTCATCAACTGGGAGATGGAGGCTCCTGGCACCTGCTAAAAGCAGAAAGGCAAAGCTGACCCTGCAAAGCTACACTCAGAGTTTGCCAGGAACAGCCAGCATCCCCTTCACAACAAGGACCCTTGTGAGATCCCCACAGCCTAGCCAGAAACAAAAAGCAATGCAGTCTGCTTCACATCCTGGCCAGCAATTCCTGCTTCCCCCCCAGCTCTGCCCTGCAGCTCTCCCTGCAGCTGTGTGACAGCACTGGTGTTTTCCCTCCTGCCTGGAAACAACCTTTTCCTTCCTCTCCTTCCTCCACAGCCATCATTTCCTACCCCCAGCCTCTTAACACAGCTTCATTCCAATAGTTATTTACAGCAGGGACACTATACCAAAGACTGCTTGAGGGGCCATGGAGTAAACACTCCTAATCTTCTGTTCACCAGCCTAACAGCAACCTGTGCATCTCCCCTGGCCTGCTGCAAACATCCTTTCCAGACAGTGCTTTCTTGTTAGTCAGCAGAGATCTAATTTTAATCCAATCTCTTTTCCTACCCTTGGGAGACCAGCTGTGTTATTTATCCCACTGCTGGACATCCACAACCACAGACATGTAGATTTAAAATAAGAGGCACAGCAGGTATCAGGTAATGAGCAAAGGTGCTTCTCCTCCTCAGCTCCTCTTCCTTATTCCTGGGCTCCTTTCCCCTCCTGGAGACCTCCTAGAGCTCAGAGCAAATTCTAGGCATTAAAACATTCCTGTATGATGTCTGACACAGAAAGATCCAGGTTGGTGTGAACAACTAGAGGGGTGTTGTGAGGATGTCCAGAGGGAGGAGGCAACTTGGCAGTGATGGAGTGAAGAGTCTTTCCATGTAACCAGGAAGCACCATGGCTGGGACCCCTGGGTTCCAGTTCAGATGGGTTCCAGAGGGCCAAGTCTCATGGGATGCTGGCTTAGCCAGGGGTGCCTGTACTCAAAAGCAACCCCCCCACTTAAGGAATTCACATAAAGCAACCAACATATATTTCACCTGTGGAATTCCCTGCTCCAGGAGATCAGCAAGACCACAGGTAGGTCCATATTGAAAATAATAAGGATATTTGCTATGAGTAATATAAAAAATAGAAACAGGAATTCAGGCTGAGACAGTTGGGGTGTTGATCCTGGAGAAAAGGCTCCAGGGAGACCTTAGAGCAGCTTCCAGGGCCTGAAGGGGCTCCAGGAAAGCTGGGGGGGGACTTGGGACAAGGGCAGGGAGGGAGAGGAGGAGGGGGATGGATGAAACCTGGAAGAGGGAGATTGAGGTGAGACATGAGGAGGAAATTCTTTGCTGTGAGGGTGGTGAGAGCCTGGCCCAGGCTGCCCAGGGAAACTGTGGCTGCCCCATCCCTGGCAGTGTTGAAGGGCAGGTTGGATGGGGCTTGGAGCAACCTGGGCGTGTCCCTGCCCATGCAGGGGGCTGGATCTGCATGATCTTGAAGGTCCCTTCCAACCCAAACCATTCCATGACTCTGTGATTTTTCAGTTTGTCCATGCACTTCCCACCCACACAACCAAAAAGACAAGTGCCCTCCCCACCCTTGGGCAGGTGACTGCCCCTTCCCAGCCCCCTGGCCACGGGGCTGTGCTCCCTCCACAGGCAGACACGGAGGGGCTGGACCCCGGGGGGCTGCCTGGCCCATCTCCCAACCCCGGGATCCTCCCCAGCCCCGGCAGAGCAGCCTCCCCTACCTTGGTGCAGTTGGCAGCCTTGGGCTCGAGGTCGCTCAGGGTGACCAGCTCCCGCAGCAGGCTGCTCTCCTGGTAGCCTCCCTTCACCCCTCGCAGCTTGAAGTAAGCCTGAGGCCTCTGCAGGATGAGCCGGAGGTTGACGGCGAAGCCGGCCATGTCGATGGCGAAGGGCCGGTGGGGGTCGAAGACGGTTTTCCAGCCGTACACCTTCCCCGCCGCGTTCACCTAGGGCGCCTCGTAGCGCAG